TACTTAAATAAAACTGTTTTAGAAAATACAGAATTGACAGCAAGGTGACCTGAGTGTCTCCTGCCATAATGCTTTCTATGTGCAAAAGGTGCTTATGTTTGTATGTTTACAAAAAAAATGGTGCAATAATAATTAATTGTCAATTTCGTCATTAAATACTACACCAAATACAAAATAAATAGCACCATTAAATTTCTTGTACAAAACTGGTTATTATGAAGATATTTTAAAATTTGTAAGTTCAACGGTTTGGTTTCTTATATTGAACAAAATAAACAAACTTCCTCTTTTTATATATATAGATAAAATTACACAAAAGGAATTGGAAGTTTTGAACTGCAACTCATAATATGATGTATATAAGAGCACGTTTGCAAAGTTTAAGATGTCATGTTTTCATATTCTTAATATATGTGTTTCATGGTCTTTGTTACCTTTTATACACAGTGCAATTTTCTGTGAATGTTAATTTTTTATAATTTAGTGAGTATATAAATCACACTTCAGGAATTCTTTGAGAATATTTTTTTTGCAACAAATTAAACTACACACCACTAGCAGTTCCCTTGCTTGATTAATAACTAGTTACACATTTTAATTCTTTCAGAAATTCTATAAAGAAGTTAAAATGTAATCCCTAATATAACAAATATGAGATTCTTTAGAGTAATAATTTTAGAATTAGACAATTCATGAACATGATTACTGCTGATAAGATTTATTAGCAGCTAGGGTGTGATTATGATTTGTTTTTAAATTTAGAATTGCAGCGGTAGTTAATTTTTTTGGATGCATACAATTTATCTTGTATAATCAATTACTTGATGTTTTAATAGTTACAAAAAGTGCATTGAAAAATAACCCTTGACTTGTGGTGTTTCAGGGTAAACATGTCCTGGGAAATAACGTCTACTCTGTCCATTTAATCCAGAAGAGAAAATACAGGTACTTCTGATAAATATATGCATTTTTGAAATTTATTTAAAGAGGTGCTTTATGAAGTTATGACAGGTAAGGGATAGTACACCAGGATTAAGCTTCCCCCTTGAAAGATTTATTAAATATTTTATTATCTGCACACACAAGTTTCGGGTAATAATATAACAATGATAGGTTAAAGTTTTATCATATTATTCCAGTTGGTAAATGTTCTAGTTCTATTCTTATTCTCTGAAACATTTAATGTTGCATTATGCAAAATAAACCAATATAAGTTATTGTAATCTGTCAATGTTCTCTGCTTTTCATAAGGTTTTACTAGCTGAAATAATTACAAAATGTTTTTGACAAACATATTTTAATATAGAACTTGCAACTAGTTTTAATCCTGTAAGAGATTCAAGCCACAGCTAGCTCCTATAATGACTGAGTTTTTTCAACTATAAACTTTTAGCTCATAGCCCCATCATCTCTTGGCTGATTTGAGATCTAATTACAGTTTTGTACTCTGGTTAATGTATTTGAACATGCCCAAAGTCTCGTACATTAATTTATTCTAATCCTGCCTAAAGGAATTTAAGCTTCAGGGTTGGCTGGTGGAGATCCTGATGAGTTATACAATCGATTCATTCGGGTATATGCATGCCCCACGCTTTATACTGCTAGCACACAAAAATATAGGTAATTAAAAAAAAAAAAGAAGAGAGAAACTAGGGTCTCGTAGATTAATTTACTCAACTCCTGCTTAAAAGAATTCATGGTTGTTTTGTAATGCTTTCTTCAAATTTTAGCATTTGCAGCCAATTCTGTATCTTGAGGTTTCCTCACAGGATTGGTTTGTTGCAGCCTTGTGATTGATATGTACAATTTTTATAGGTATGTGTGATTAGATAAGAATGCAGGTTTTCTGATTTTCTAGCTTTATAACAATATTGGCCTTGGTGATTGTTCAATACCAATGTTTTTTTTTCTTTTTTTTTAACAGGCAATACATGAACAGAAAGGGTGGTTTCAACAGACCTTTGGATTTTGTGGCATAGTGACTAATTAGATCACTAGTATACCATCATTTGTACAGTTTTTTTCTTCTTCTTCTCAAGCTTTGTTAAATGATTTAAGTTTACATATAAAATTGTAATTTCTAATCATTTTAATAGAATCTGAAATTCTTTGTGATTTTTGTGTGTATATTTATATATGGGTAATACATTAACAGATTATAAACCTCAATTTAGACTGCTGATATTTTAGAAGAATTGAGCTGTTCAGCAATCAGTTCTAGACAAGTCTAATTCTGTGAATATGTTCTATTAGTTTTAAAATAAAGAAAAGGGATATCCATATCATTTTCTATTAACTTTAGAAAATTTTAGGATTTCACAAGAACACCAAACTTTTTTTTTTTTATATACTTATGTTTGGAACGTTAAATTTAATGATGCAAACACTCAAACAAAGTGAATTGGTCATAATTTCCCTTTGTCTGGTGACTCCTTTATCTTGAAAATTTGATAATATACACAAATGTAAGAATACTGTTAAATTTAAAAAGATACAAACCCACACTTCACTGTCATAGTTTTCTTTGAATTTTAAATGTGTTAGTACTTTTGTAATTACTTGTAGTCTTAAAACAATTCATGGAAAGGTGGTTTAAATATGATTTGTTACCACTAAAAATGTCATGTACATAATTCTAAATTTAAAGTATTTTAAATAAGACAACCTTATTAGTGAAAATACATGGCAACAAACCCCATAACTTGAGCACTCTCATTCTTTATTATGTCTATAGCACAACAATGTTTATACAGGATCCTTCACGTTTCCAGCTATACTAATTTATACATTTATTACAAGATAGTTTGTCTTTTCACAGGTGTGTGTGTGTGCGTATATGTATACAGACACATACACACACACACACACACAGCAGTACCTACAATCAGGACACTTCAATTATAAACCATCCTGAGCAAAATAAAAATATTCTACTAGTACTAAATAGCTCATATTATTTACTACCACAAGAGCTTTATTTTATACAATATTTGCAAAAGTTTAAAATTAAGTGTAACTTACCTTGGGATTGGTCTATCAACATGTATCAAATTTTATTAAGGAAAAGATCATGGTTTTGTTACCCAAGAGTTAACTCTGTCAAAGTTAGGGAAGTAATGGTTTGGAAAATAGTAATAGGAGGCAGCACAACATATTAAACAATATATTTTGTATTTTAATGAGATTTGAGGCAGTATGTCACTTCACAGAAATATTTTTACTAATTTATTTCATACATGTATGTCCAATACAGACTTAACCTGATATTAGAGAAAAAAAAATCATTGTAATTATTAACCATTTCAGAGTAAAAACTCCAGTTAACTGGTTCATTTCACATCACTGTAATAAAATCCTGTACTAGCTATGATCAGCTTATAAAAACAATTGTTCCTAACAGTTTAATAGATGTGAAGATTAATATAATGCATGGATTGTGACTTAACAATGATAGTTATAGAAAAAAAAGAGGGCAATCTGGAAGACTACTTGTAAAAAATAATTTACTGGAAAGAATTTTGAATTCATAAAATAGTTAATAGAAGTAACTGACATAAGTCAATAAAACAGAGTTTAAGTAGCATGGCAAAGTAGAACCATATACAAACATTTACTGTTACAGAATACATTTTTTTGTAATCCTGTTATTTGTATTAATGATATTTTACAGAAATGTTCTGAATGCATATGACGAAACAGATATGACCAGAATATAATAGGGTATTTAACATATAAATCATATGTCATACTTGAATGCAATAATACCCAATTAAGAACAAGATTTATGCACAGGCTGATGACTCTCAACTACCATATTCCCTTGAGCAGTCATTCTGAAAGCATGACAGGCAACTAAAATTGTTATTCATGAGTAATTGCTAAATTCAGCAGGGAAAAACAAATATATACACACTACATATATACATACATACATTAGGTGACCTTTGACAACTGAACTGAAGCATGATAAGGACAACAGTTCCCAATGAAGGCACAGTACACAAGGATTGATGGCTAAGGAATTTATATATGTACATCACAGCCAGAAGAAAACAATTATACGTTTGTTTCACAGCATTCTCCAAAATCTCAAGGTTGAACAATAAACTGTTTATTCAGATTGAGGTACTTCCTCCCATCATGCCTTCTAATTACAAGTACATGGTAACACTTTCCAAGTCCTAAGGTCCACATGTGTGGTATACAAGCATCCTGGCTATGGTCAGAAAAGTGAACTGTTTAAAATAAAGTATTTTCAATTTAATAACACAAACTTTAATCCTCATTTACTTAGTATTAGTGCAATTTTATAAATATTTCAACAGCTTCCTTATTAGAGACCACAGATCTATTCTATCTATAAAATTTCGGCTTTAAGTATAAAATGTACAGTTGTAATCAGAAATATTATATAAATATTGCTTCAACTGATAACAGCAAAGGGGGCAAATGAAACCTGGTTATGCCATAAAGCCTGCAAAGCATCTTTAGGCTACATCTTCATTTAATGATTAAAAACCATAGTTTTTGGCTTTTCTTTGCACATACACTTGATACATTAAGAACGACTGAAATAATAATTTGAGTAATAATTAATGTGTATTTACTACTTTAGAGATTTGTTGTTACTCTATGAACGTTTTTATGCTTATACTGTGAGGTAAAAATGGCTGCTGCTATGATTTTGTGTGGTTTATGAGGTCGTTGTTGTCCTAATTTAGGATCTTCTTTTTAAAAAAGAGAGAGAGAAAGGGGGCCCGTGCTGGCTCTTCACATTCCTGAGAACAGAAGTGAAGTATCATGTATATTTTAAAATGTTTTAACCTTTTAATTATGCATCTTAAAACATAACTAATACATAATAGTAAAACCTAAATACAATTTAAACTGTATCTCTAACTATAACATACTTGGGTAAGAAACAACCATAAGTGCTATAGTCGATGAAGCAGCCAACAAACAAAACTACCGTCAATTTCAAAATAACTATTGTTAGATTAGAGTGTAAAATAATTGCTCTGTAATGACTATACACACATGTATGTAACATCTACATATGGGCTATAAAGCTCAAACAATTCTGTTGAATGTGGGCATGGCATCTGTCAGGGGTTTCAACTGTATTCATTCAGAGAACTTTGAAATGAACAAGTCAAAAGGTTACATAAGCATCTTATTGTTTAGACGTGCCTCTACTCAACTGCCACTGTATTGTTGAGAGCCATAGTAGAGAATTTTCATAGCTTGTTGGTCATGTGACAAAACATCTGAAGGAGTTCATTTTGAAATAAAGGACTTAAAACTTGGATAAAATAAAATTTCAAATCATAACATTCATTGATAGTAAAGGTGTTTAGTTAAATTTTGAATATAACATACTGACTTGTGCAGAACAGCGTTTAAAGGGGCTCCCATTGCAAAAGTATTAATGAGTAAGTAAATAATAAATATCTAAGAGACAGTATAATTTTCATGGATCATCCCAATATGACCTCAAGTAATTATAATTTTGGAGCCACACCATGTCCATTCATACACTACATGTTTTGTATTTTGATAATAGCACTGTTTGCACTGCAAAATACTCCATCATAAGACTGTCACTTCTTCCTGCACATTATTCATGATCTATCTAGTTTAAGAGAATGACAGTTTCCCAGTACCTGTTTTAACAGTCTTATTAGACATCCATCTGTAAGACTTGTATCTAGCACACTGACCAATATGTCTATATTAATAGCATGATTACCCATTTCATGTACAAGCTGCTTGTAGTATGTGATAGTTGATATGTTGTGGAAGCAACCTGTGTACAAATGAATAACTAATTTTCCAAACAGAGATCCTTTGATTATGTTACATACTGTTGCCATGTTAATTACTTTTGCCACTGGCACTTGTGTATGTAGATTCTTGCCTATGACCAGATGCTGCACTTTGCTTACCATAGCTAGGGTATAACTTGTTGCAGTACTGTTTGGATGGTTCTGGTGCCCAAAATTTATCCATATTTATTTGGTTTCCAATGCCATTAAGTACAAGGGATATCTCCTCTTAGAAATTCTAAATCCTTGATCTCACCACATCTTTACAATCTGAAGGTATGAAATGTTTTGTATTGGAAAGAGCTTTTAAATACCCTTCCCAAAAGTGATAATTTTCAGTGGCATCACACTACCTACAACATTGTATACAATGTCAAACACTGTTCCACTATATCTTCATATTGGATGTAGTTGTTATGGAACTTGCTGATTTGTATATCATGTTTAAACACTTTGCTTTTCTTTCATTTAATCAGGGTACAAATAAACTTTCAGTGACCATAATCTGCTGGGATTTTAAATATCAAAATTTCTTTCAGTCAAAGTTCAAACAATCCACTTTCATTAATGTTTCTACTGATAAGCAATTTGTTCAAAAAGCTAGAAATCTATCAAAAAGTCCCTCAGTGGCTGAATAGGTTATGTTCTGTCCTCTTTGTGTAATTTGACAACCCATATACACACTACAGTATACATTTTGTCATTACGTCCTCAACAATTTAGAAAGACATTAGTCACAGAAATATAACATGAAATTGTAAAAACACTGCATCAACTTCATCGGTGCATTCACTGGCATCAGTGAAGCATAAAAATACCCTCAATTAAGAATAAAAGATGTGTATTTTTAGCATCTGATGAAGTAATAAATGTAGGTACTTCAAGATTGTAGTTCAAAGGATTTTTTTTTAAAAATGTGATTCCCACCAAAAAATATAAGCATTTTTAAAGGGAAAGGAAACTTGTTTGGATATTTATAAAATTATGCTCAACTTGGAGGTCTTTACATATCTTGTACAAGCAAAACTAAACAGTTTACATATGAAAGAATGCTACATACCCATTTTACAGAATGAACAAATGTTGACACAGCAGCTACAGCTTCTCCTGAAAAATGTACAGATTATTGGTTGCTGCTACTGCAATGATATTTTCTTGTGGGTGCCATGCTGTGTGCAGAATTTTTCTACTAAAATCTAAACAGTCTACACCAATTTCATCTCTCTTTCTCTTCCCTCCTGTACCCACCTACAAAAATATGATAATACATTATCTTCAAAGCAAATGGTGCAATTAACAAATCATGGATTTAGAGTTAAAAATGAAGGTAAAGTGTATACACAAAACTCCTTTGCACATTATTCATCAACTCACACAGTATTTTCCACAAAGCAAGCAACTTTCTTTTTAATTGTTCTACTTTAAATTTATATGTAAGAAAGTTTTATGTTACATGTATAATACTTTATAACTATAAAAAAACCAAAATCAACCCAGACGTAATATATTCACGAAAGTGAAATTTCAATTATTATATATGTATATAGATTATTGCT